GCTGCAAGTCTTCTTACTATAGAATGACTCGTATTAATACAATGTAAGAGGATAGTTTGTTGGAATTATTGATGATTTTCCATGAAGGTTGGTATGAGAAGATGAAATTAGATGGCATAAAGGTAAAGGGCTTTGGAAATTATTTAAGTTTGTGTGGAAAGGTAATGCATCCGTTCAAGTTTTCGAAGTTGTTATGTATGTAAGGATGGAAGGAAGATAAGTTTAGATACGAGAACTGTGAGTTCATAATGAGATTCGACTCCCAACATCTTGATAATAGACCATCTTTTGAAAAGCTTAAGGCATAAGCGGTAGAAAAACGATTTTTGATTAAAAGAATGAGATTGGACCTCGCCTGGTATTCTTAAGAGTTATGGTTTTTAGAAGTAGATGCAAGTTTTTGTGTTAGTTGGAGTGGACATAATCTAGGTGGAAGTGTTTGGATAATGGGACAAAGGTACTCTGAATATTAAAATGAGAAGAGAATAGTGGATGATATGCATATAAGAGGCAAAAGACACATGTACTGTGGTGGATACAGGACTGTGTGTTGAATTAGATATGTTAGCTTAAAAGCTTAACAATTCTTTGGAGCGTTTATTTTGGAATAATAGAATAGGGTATCGAGTAGCCTATTTACCTCGTACAAGATGGTTAGGTAATAGAGTCAAAAGTTTCGGAATTCAGTAAGCAGTGAGACTCATAAGTTCAGGAGTTGTGCGATCATGGTTACATTCTTGTGAGTTTTTCTTTCATTTTCTTCTTCTTCAGCTACCTAACTAAATTCTGATAATTCCTCTCCTTTACCTTCGAGCTGCTTTGCACCTTTCCCTCTTTTTGTAATAGAAAGTCATAAATTGATAGCTTTCTTCTCGAGTCTACCTTAGATTATCACTAAGAAAAAGAGGAAGGGAATAAAGTAGAGTCAAAGGTTCCAGTAAAGAAATGTAGTTGTTGGTTCCGAAGCTAAAAACACACAACATCATTGTAATTGAAGCCTAGTTTACGAGGTTCAAGTTAATAAATAAGGTAAATAGTTAAAGCTGTCTCACGTATTCAAAGTGAAGGAGGGAAGCCGAAATCCATTTAGTGTTATTATCCATGATTTGAATTAGAATTCCAAGAGTTCGAATTGTATGTCATGAAAGGTGTTGAAGAGTGAGTAGCACAGGAGAAGAGGATGATGAGCCAAGTGAGGAACCTGATTTGGAAAGAGGTTGAATGAATCAAAGGTGTTTAGACCTTATAAATAGATCATTATTTAGAACATTACTGTTGCTGGGTTGAATATGCAGCCAAATACATTGAAAAGATCTCTGCTAAACGAAAAGTGTGCGAAAAAATAGATATCAATAGACCCTCAAGGGGTGGCTGTTCCAAAGGCTCGGGATGTTTTTAATACCCCTCGAAGTTCTTGTACACGTGCAGTAGGCCTGGGGAACGGAAAGGATCCCCTAAATCAGTAGGCCTTGGTTTATATCACCCCTGTAGTACATTACGAGGTATTTCAAGTCTAGTTGGAGTAAACGTGATTTTTGTGAATGGTTATACGGCTTCACGTTCGATTGACACCAAATTTGGCGAGCTTTCATCTTTTGTATAGACGAACTTAACTCTAGAGTTGATGCTGAAACTCACACCAGAATTCCAACTATTGAGGTTATGACGCAGGACCTTACATGGTCCTCTTCGAGCCTATCTCTGGTAATCATGACAACTCATTGCCCCCCTAATCTTGTTTATGTCTCGGTTTGGCTTTCATGCATACTCTTCTTCGTGTGTTGGATGTGTACCATCCTCATCGATCATATCATAACACTTATTTGTCTTGACCCTCATGTGGCCAAGTGGACGTCATTCGCGTAACACTGCCTTGTTCCGAAGCTCAGTAAAAATAAAAAAGAGCTGCCTGTTCCGGAGCTGAGTGAAAAAAAAAAAAAAAAAAAAA